AATCCTTAATTTTTCCCCTTCTTTCTTTCCTTTCATTGCCATGTCTTTAAGGGACACTACCCACTTGTCAGTGTAGCGGATTCTTCCTCAAAAGTAATGCTTTCTGAAGCTTCCATTTCTGGTCTCTTATTTTCAAGTTCCATCTTGACAGCCAGTGCTATAACTTACCAAGACCCAGGCTGTGTTCAGTATGTTGGTACTTAATGTTTGATATCTTCTTTCAAGGTTTGATTTTGCCTATGCTTTGCTTAATCATCCACTCCCTTTTTTATTTTTCAAACATTCTCTGAAGCCCTGCCTCTTCCACTCTCAGCATCTAAATGTCTTGCAGGAGTAGAGGATGCTTTTTATTTTATTTTTTAAAGATCTTTTATTTATTTATTTGACAGACAGACAGAGATCACAAGTAGGCAGAGAAGCAGGCAGAGAGAGAGGGAGGGAAGCTGGCTCCCGCTGAGCAGAGAGCCCGATGTGGGGCTCGATCCCAGGACCCTGGGTTCATGACCTGAGCCGAAGGCAGAGGCTTTAAACCCACTGAGCCACCCAGGCACCCTGGAGGATGCTTTTTAAAATTCAGTTTTCTAACAATTGCATGTTTGTGGTACCCTCTGTCTCCTGATATTGCTAAAGGCTTGAATCACATATAATTATATTTGCACTGGTTGTACATAATATTTTTTTGAAAATGTGTGGAGAGTTTCTAGTTCAGGTGGTTGACATTATCCTCTAGACCCAAGCGTAACTTATCTCTGTTCTCTCGTAACAATACAGATTTATATTTGTTCATAAGCAACTCCAATTCATTCATTTTCATGCTTTCTAATAGTCTATCAATTTATTACCAATTCTTACTGGTCATTTAGGTCATTTAGATTGCATTTAAGATTTCACTATTACCCAAAAAATGCTACAAAGAACATACTTATATCTATTTCTTTCTTCACACATCCAAGCATTTCCCTAGGGTATATGTGTATGTCTGAAAAGTGCTGGCTTAGAGAATATGTGCATTTTAAAAAAGATTTTATTTATTTATTTGAGAGCAAGAAAGAGAGAGCAGGGTGTGGAGAGGAGGCAGCAGAGGTTGAGGGAGAAGCAGGCCCGCACCTGAGCAAGGAGCCAGGCACAGGGCAGAGGGCTCAATTCCAGGACCCTGAGATCATGACCTGAGCTAAAGGCAGATGTTTTACAACTGAGCCACCCAGGCACCTCAAGAATATGTGCATCTTCACCTTTACCAGATATTCTCTAACTGCTTTCAATAATAGTTGTAATAAGTTACAATTCTACTAGCAGTGTTAAGGAATTCTCATTTTCTACATACTTCAATTATTATTTTCAAGGTTTACATTTTTGTCAATCTGATGGATGTGATGACTATCTGGTTTGTCTTTTCATAGTCTTTGCCTAGTTTTATTTTGGGATGTTGTCCTTTCTTAGTAAGTCCTTTGTATATTCTAGAAATAAACTTTTAAAATTCTGTATTTTGTAAATATATTTTCCAAGTTTGTGCCGTATCTTTAACTTTCTTTAAGTTATACAGAAGTTTCAAAACTATATCACTGTCAAATCTATTATATTTGTCCAATAACATCTATATCTTTTTATAAAATGCTTTATAAAATTCTTCCAACCACCAATGTCATGAACATGTGCTACTATATTTTCTTATTGGAATATATTTTGTTTTTACATCTTTATTTAAATGGAGTTTATTTTTGTGTAAAATGCCAGGTAATGATTTTTCCTCTGCAGATAGATACCTGCTCGAATGCCACAAATTCGTATTTACCGAGGCTCTTCCTCTGTTCAAGTATGCTCAGAACCAGCTGAGCACTTACGGCCTTTCATAATATCTTTAACCACATCCTTCGGGCTTATCTCTCACCACACCCTTCTACAGTAGCATTATTTTCTTGTCAAACCAGACTACTTAATGCATTCACTCTTCTTGAATAACAAAAACTCTATTCTTGCTCTCTCCACAAGTCACGTTCTCTTCCTGTCTTTTCTCCTTACTAAATTATAAACTTCTTCTCAAAAGACATTGTCCAATTCACCTCTGCGTATATAATATGCAATCAATAATTTGGCACTGATTGAACAGACTTCCAATACTTGTCCAGGATTTTTATTCTTAATTTAATTTGGCCTTTGTAGGTGGGCACTTCCACCTAGTACAAGCCGTCATCTATCTATGTATCTAGATTTTCACACAGAAAGTAAAAGGTTTCTTTTACCTACCTCCCCACCCAAATATGCCTAGTGATTCCAACGCTTTTTTACAATTTTAAAAACAGAACCCTCAAAATACTTCTAAGGCCCGGGCACCAAAGTTTTCATTTCTGCTCCCATGTGTAGGGCAGGTAAGTCTGTGGTTGAGGCTAACAGTAAAGGGGACGTCCCCTCTGTAGGGGATGCCGGGAGTTGGCCCCTCCTCGACCCACTTTGGAAGTGAGGCCGCGCGCCCGAGAACGTGTTCACATCCGTGGATGTTTCCTCTTCCCTTCGTTTCCTCCAGCTGCCTCGACCCTGAAAACAAACAGCAGGAGGTGGAATTACCTCTGAAGTCACTGTGTATCCTTCCATGGAACGAACGCTGGAGTGCCCAACTCGGCTGTCAGCATTCCTAACACGGTCTGGCCTTTCAGGCGGGAGCTACAGTTGGCGCCAAGTTCTCAGGCGACTTCTGGAATCTCTCACGAGCCGCGCTTGCTGCCTGGTTACAAAGATCCGGTCAGGCCGGGACCCAGGGGTTCCCCTTCCAGAACCTGGGCTCCGTTAGGAGTGATTGAGGTCACCTCCATAGAACCGTGGAAAGGGAAGCTTCCGCCCACCCCACGCCCACCCAGAAGTTTGCGGTTTTCTCCGCACCCGCCGCGGGGCAGAAGCAGCGGCCATGGGGTCACGGGCGGCCGACTGAGGGCCTAAGCGATGGGGCAGGAGGGGCGTCTGCGTCCCCAGAACCGCCGGCTCCCGTCCGGAGACAGCCGCGCGCGCCGGAACTGCATTTCCCATAGGCCCCCGCGGCGGAGCACCGCCCCAGCCTGCCGCCCCCGCGCGGCCCGGAGAACGCGTACGCCGCCGCCGCCGCCTCCGCCGCCGCTGCAGCAGGCCTGGGTGCCCTGCCAGCTGTGCCTTTGAAAGGCGGCGGGAGGCGGCGAGCACGATGGCGAGACTGGAGCGCCTGCTGTGTGTGCTGGGCCTGGTTCTGTGCGGGGCGGCGAGCCCCGGGCTGTGCGCTGCTCTCGCCTCCAAGAATCCCATCATCGGTAAGGAGGCTGGGTGGGGGCCGCGGGCTTGAGGCCGGGTGTCTGTCCTGGGCACTGCCAGCTGCTGGGCTCCAGCTGCTACGTCCGGCCTTGGAAGTACCCGAGTCCGGGGTTGCCGTATGTGCCTTCATTTGTAGCACGAGTAAGAGCCGAGCACCATTTCGGTTGTGCCGAAATAGAGCTAATGCCTGGTGGTTTCCTCAAATTCATTTGGCTCTTCAAGTTGGCAGGGAGGAGGGTGCGCTGGGAGAATCCTGCGGATTGTTTTCTTCTTTGTACATAGCGAGAAATTTCTACGAACTCACCGAACTCTGTACATACGTTAGGTTTATTAAAATTTCATGGAGTGAGGGCATATTTCAAGACACATTGTATTATCCCTATAAAAACCGAATTGACCAAAATCAAGAAATTATGGTATACTTTGGATGTTGTCATCTTCAGCAGAAGATGAAGGGCAGAAGTGCCTAGTATAATCCTAATGTCAGGTCTACATGGTGTTAAAGTGAAGCATGTAATTTTTCGTGTCCAACAAATTTATGTTTTAAAGAGTAAAATCAGTTTGCGTTATCAGAGCAGACATTCGAGACAGGGAAGGGGAAGGCTACCCGGGAGAAATCAATCAGCCTGGAATTAAAATTTACCAAAAGCAATTTATGTTAGACAATTAAGATTGGCTTTATTTTAGAGGTAGTATTATGCCATTCAAACTCTTTTCCCTTCTGGGAAGAGGAGCATCATATTCTGTAAATAAATAGTAAGTAAATGAGTATTTTTTTTTCCATAAGTATTGCTAGTGCCTGATTTTCAAATGGGTTCTGTATCAATATTTGGAACTTGGAATGCCTTATTTCATAGCTGTTTAAAATGGTGGTTAGAGTCTCCAAGGAGAATTAACTCAAAATAAAATTCTATGTAGTGTGTTGGAAATTGTGAGTATAGAGAGGAGGGGAAAAGGAAAAAAGGGTGGGGGGGATTCTTTTTCCTTTCCTAGAAACAGTGGTAGTCCAGGGTCAATTATAGAAAAAGGGAGTGTGTTTTCAGTCACATCACTTAAGGCAAAATAGTTAACTAAGCACCTATTGTGTTCAAGGCATTGAATTAGAAGTGCGAAGGAAACCACAAAGTTGTGAGGTGGCCTTAAACTATGGGTGGAATTTTGGTCACATTTTGAGGGACTTACAGCTTGAGTTTTTTTCCCCCACAGGTGGGAAAAGTGAGTAGCTGGGTAAAGGAGAGGGGTTGGGAAGAAGTTGGTGGAACTTACCTATTCTAATATACTTTTTCTCCTTTCTGGCACTTAGGTTTACATGTCCCAAACCCTAAACCTTTTTTTGGGATATTTCACCTTGCCTGCCTTGTTCCACTCCTTTCCTCATTTCCTGTGACATGCCTTCATTCTTTCCCTAACACATTTCATTTTCCTCAGTGAGGACCATCTTATTTATCCACAACAATAAAACAGTCTTTTTTTTTTTTTTTTAAAGATTTTATTTATTTGACAGACAGAGATCACAAGTAGGCAGAGAGGCAGGCAGAGAGAGAGAGGAGGAAGCAGGCTCCCCGCCGAGCAGAGAGCCGGATGCGGGGCTCGATCCCAGGACCCTGGGATCCTGACCTGAGCCGAAGGCAGAGGCTTTAACCCACTGAGCCACCCAGGCGCCCCAACAATAAAACAGTCTTAACAAATTTTGGCATTTGGCATGTGTTAACTGAGTGCCTGACAAATGCCAATTTTTGTGACAAGCTGGAAATAGAGAAGTGATTGGTATAGACATCTCTTCATGTCAGGTGGTCTACAGAGACAGTGAAGTGTTCCAAATGGTGAAGCAGTGAATGATACTGGCACAGGTGTATTCTCCAGACAGACATGTTTTGATGTATATTGGATGCCAGTACTGTGCTGGGGCTGAGGTTTCAGTGGTAAGAGGCAGCCTGAGAGGTAGGTGGGATGTGTAGAGTTTATGAACGTCTAGGAACCCACTGAGGTACTTAAACAAGGAGATGGTCCCCGTTGATTTGTTATCCCTGATCTCGTTTCTTATTGTTTTCTTCCCGTTGCTCCTGGAGCTCTAGTAATAGACTCCTTGAGATGTGATAGGCACACACCTTTGCACTTGCTTTTTTCCCACCCTGGATCCGTCTTCTTCCAGAAACTTTTATATGGCTTACTCCCTCATCTCTCTGAAGTCCTGGCTCAAATGTCATGTTGTACGTTCTCAGGGAGGTATTGCCTGGCCTGGCATCATATGTAAGACTTTCTTCCCCTGGATGGATGGAACCAACTCCTCCCCTTCTCCAAAACACACCTTCTTACTCTGCTTTACTTTTTTTCCCTTAGCATTTACCTCCAGTCATCAGACTTTATATTTTAACTTTTTATCTTGTTAACTATTTGTCCACTCTTCTCTCCCTCCCACATACTAGGATCAAAGCCCACAGGGGAAGGATTTTTGTTTTGTTCATTCGTGTGTCTCCAGCACGTTCAATACCTTGTATATATTATGATTCAGTAATATACTGAATGAAGAAGTTAATGAATGAATAGTGATATGATCAGATTTCTTTCCAGGTGGAGCACTGGTGGCAGTTGTTGAGGATTGTTTAAGAAAAGATACAGAGAGACCTTTTAAGAAGCTATTGTAATAGTCTGAAGGGGAGGAGGCAAGATGTTGGTTGCTTAGATTATGTTGCTGATGTTGGAGAGATGTAGACAAGATATTTAAACTCTTTTACTTTATTGTCAAGGAAGCAATGTGCCTTTGAGTGTGTGGGAGAGGAGAGGCCTTCTTCTAGACTTAAGGATGTGAGATTGATTCTAGGTTGTATAAAGGAGGCTGGTGCTATTGTAAACTTGCTTTGGGGCTTACTTGGTCTCCTTGATGAGGTGAGAGAGAGAGGCAATTACTTAAAACTTAGATCAACCTCCACTGTCTTTTCCCAAAGTCTATTGCTGTACTTACAGAAGAAGCTTTGTATTTAATTCTGTGAATTAAACAAATAAAATTGGTATCTTTTTTTTAAGATTTTATTTGTCAGAGAGAGAGAGAGAGTGCGCGCAAGTGAGCACACAAGCAGGAGGAGCTGCAGGCAGAGGGAGAAGCAGGCTCTTTTCTGAGCAAGGAGCCCAATGCCCGTCTCAATCCCAGGACTCTGGGATCATGACCTGAGCTGAAAGCAGATGCATAATGGACTGAGCTACTCAAGCACCCCAAAATAGTGGTATTTTTTACTGTGATGTGTTTCAGTTTCTGAGTAAGAAAAAAAGGAAATTGCTCGAAATTAAAACTATTTTTCCTTTCCTTTTTCTTTTCTTCTTTCTTTTCCGTTTTCTTTTCTTTTTTTTTTATTTTCTCCCTCCCTCCCATCTTCACTTCCCTTCCCTCCCTCCACCCCCTCTTAATTTTTTTCTTTCACTCTTTCATTTCCTTCCATCCTTCCTACCTTCCTTCCTTCGTAATTTAGGAGTATTAATGCAAACGTCCCATAATAAGGACATGAGAAGCCTGGGAAAATACTATATTGCTGCATCCTATGTAAAGTATCTGGAGTCTGCAGGTGCAAGAGTTGTACCAATAAGGTATGATCCAGTATTTTTATACTGTATAAATAAAAACTCCTGTGTTATCTCAGATAATTTTTAGCTCAAAAATTAATGTTTCCTTTGCTATGATTGCATCATTTAAATGTGGTAACATTGCTCCTGATTTTTGCCAAATCTAATGCTTAGAATCATTAAATTGTTTAAAGTAGGAAGGTGTTTGTACTTATAGTGCTATTAGAGGTCTGTAAAACATGTTAGGTAAAGAATGAAATGATAGTTTCCTATACCCCAGGGAAGGTGGTAGTCATCAGACATTTGGAAAATTATGGAGTAAAAGAATTGATAACTTAACCAGCTTTATTCTATAATATTAGGGTAAGGAAACACTTATGCAATAAAAGAGATTTTTAGAAGATGACTTTTAAAATGCCTTCACACTCTACTTAAAAGGTTTGTAAATGACTAACACAGCAGTGTTGCTTCAGTATAAATTACAAGAATTGCAGTCTTAAAGGAGCTACATTACTTTTTTGTGATATAATGCCCTAGTCAGACTAAAATGACATGTCATATTTTGATTTGGAAAGAATTGAATTTTTTACAGATAAAACCTTGTAAGTATTTATAATATCTATTCACCCAAAACTAACATATTTTAGAATCTTCCAGCTCTCCTGTCTATTCCATTATAAGTGATTTCACATACAAAGCCCAACTGGTTGCTTTGGGCAACCTGTTTATGTAACTAATTCCATGTTAAAAAGCTATAACAAAGGAAAGGAACTGTTCAAATAAAACAATAATAATCAAAATGCGAACATTACAACTGAGAATTATACCATAAAATGGTTTTATGTTTAGCTTATAAGGATCATCTTCTTGTTTGATCTTTACATTTAACTAACTATCTCTACCCATTCACTTTTGACATTCATTTTTCGTTTTTGTTTTTTTTATAGCAAATCTAATTTTTCAAATGAAACTTTATTTGGAACTCAGATAACACCGGAATTTTAGACCTGAGGAAGTAACTTACAGTCTTCAGAACAGCATTTCAAAGTTTTGATCATGGGAACTTTTTCTGCTAGTGTTCTTTTAGGACATTAGTGCTGATAACCTGGGTGGGAAGTGGGAGAGACACAGGCAGGTAGACCAGTTCAGAGACTGTTGAGGTAGGCTAAGCGTGAAGTGACAAGGGTGTGGCTTACTTGTAGGATCAATGGAGAAGTGTTCTCTAAAAGTATTAGCAAGATTTGATGACTAATAGAATGAAAGGACATAGGAAGGAATAGCTGAGAATTACAAGTTTTGAAACTGAACAAATTTTGAAACTTGGGAAGTTTTGAAACTGAGGAAGTTTTGAAACTGAGAAAGTTTTGAAACCTAATGACTAGCAGCAGAATGCTGATATTTATGACAGAGTCACTGAAAACATGACTGTCAGCATGAGGGTTAATTTGCAGCTCGGGTTTCCAAAGTTCATTTTAAGGTATATTGCTTGGAATTACAATCATTTAGTCCTACAGAAACAATGTAATACATGGCAGCTAAATTCCCAGAGTAACCTCTAAGGGATGACCCAACATAGAATGGGAATGAAATGGTCACATTGATAATGTTGACTTTATTTCTGGATTTTGGATGCTGGGAGCCAACTTCCATGGTTTAGAAGGGAACAGGAGGAGGATGGGAGACCTAGGCAAAATTCTGGAATAGATAAAGAAGTTTGTTTTGGTCTCCTGCCTTCTCAGGTGCCTGGTACCCTGAGGTTATCCTAAATCCCCACTGTGGGACTAGTGGGACCCATGGAGCATCCTCTTGGGGGGTAGCACGGGACAGCCCACGGGCTGCTTCTTGTTGTAAAATGTGTTTTGTTCACACACTGTTTTAAAAACAGTTTTAGGAGCACCCACGTGGTTCAATCAGTAAGCATCTACCTTCAGGTCAGGTCATGATTCTGGGGTCCTGGAATTGAGCCCCACCTCGGGCTCCCTGCTCAACGGGGAGCCTGATTCTCCCTATCCTGGGATTGAGCCCCATGTTGGGCTCCCTACTCTTCAGGGAGCCTGCTTCTCCCTCTCTCACTTCTCCTGCTTGTGTTCCCTCTCTCGCTGTCTCTCTCTGTCAAATGGATAAATAAAATCTTAAAAAGCAAAACAAAACAAAACAGTTCTAAACATTTACAAATAAGAAGACTTTATAAAAGTCTGAATTTCTGACCTTTTTTTGTTTGCTTGTTTGTTTTCCAAGATAGTCATCTGGGGCTGACTTTAAATAAAGCAAGTGCCCAACAATGCCTGTTACTCCTTTTCACACTGCTGAAACTGTTTCATCTGCCATCATCACCGGGCTTAAGCAGTTTTCTTTTAGTTAAAGAGAAAATAAACTCTTTCATACCCTACTGAGAAGGTCTCCCGTTTCTCAACAGTCTGACAACATGCAAATAATATCTGTATTCAAAGAAAAGGATCTGGCCTGTCTTTCCTGTCCAGTCTCTAGGGCATGGGAGTTCATGACACTTCATCCCCTCCTCCCTCAACAGTTAAGCCCCTTAAGAATGATCGGCAGGGTCTAAAAGTCCAGTCATGGACAATATGGGAGCTGTTTATGTAGAATTGATGAAATGACTAAAACCAGCCTGCAGGGCTTGCTGGTAGAAGTCCCTGGAATGTAGCTGAGTGATCTAAATCCATTCCAGTGATGACTTCTCCCGGCTTAAATGTCATTGGGGAAGATTCTGGATCCTGACTGTTTGGTTCCCTTTTTATTGACCCAGTCTGGGGAGATGAGACTGGCAGAACACTGGGAACATGGACTCACATTTGAATCTCCCTGTCACTTCTCAAGTCAGGAGCACTTGCCCATTTATTCTCCATCTAAGATAAAGATGAGCACCACTGCAATATCACCCATTGCTTTATAGTTCGCTGCTGGGAAGAGGAGTATTGTGAACTTTTAAAAAAAAATTATATTAATCAATTATTTTAAAGATTTTATTTATCTGAGAGAGAGAGTGAGCAAGAGAGAGCACAAGCGGGGGGGAATGGGAGAGGGAGAAGCAGACTCCCCGCTGAGCAAGGAGCCTGATTCGGGGCTCCATTCTAGGACCCTGGGATTATGACCTGAGCTGAGGCAGACGCTTAACTGACTGAGCCACCCAGGTGCCCCCCCCCCTTTTTTTTTTAAAGATTTATGTATTTATTTGAGAGAGAGAGAGAGCAAGAATGGGGACAGGGAGAGGAAGAGGGAGAGACTCTCCAGCAGACTCCCCACTGAATGTGGAGCCTAACTGGAAGGGAGATCATGACCTGAGCCAGAATTGAGAGTCAGATGCTTAACCGACTGAGCGATCCAGGTGCCCATATGAACTTCTAAATAGACCCGGACTTGCAAAGCTCATTTAGACTTAGAAAAGAACCTAGCACAACAAAGCACAGCCAAGTTCTGGGCATCATAAGTGTATTAATAATGGGAGATGTGTTCTGACTCCCCCTAAAACATTCCCTGGGGCAGAAGTGGACTGTGGTTGACATTTGATCATAAACCTACTTCTTTTATGGCTGATTGAGAGGGCATCATTCCTTGTTATTCTCTTATAGAACCAGAAGAGTGTTTAATGTAGGAAAGTTCTTACAGGAATTTCATAACCATGATGCTCTCTTCTCTCGTTCCTGCATTTTCTTGAACTTTTGGAAGAGCAGACCCATTTTACTGTGATTTAACTAAATTGTCACAGATGAGTCCCATTACTTTTTTCTGGAGAAGGGGATAAAATCATCAATAGCATGGTGATGTTAGGAGCTCTTAAGTGGTGTTCGATGAAAGGAGCTGCAGAATACCCAGGCAAGTTAGCTTCAGAATAATTGCCCCGTCTACAGTGATGTGCATGTAGCCTGTCCCTAGATCTGAACTCTTCTGACTTTTGGATGCACAGTGGTCTCCAGATCTTTGCAGTTAGTGGCGGGAGTGGGATGAACCCGAGATTTGGCATTTGTATGTATTGTTTTTATAGCCCAAACTGCCTGCAGTTAAGGGAAGCATATTAATAAATCTCTTTATTTCATCTTTATACAAAACTACTGAATATCCTTACATGGTTTGTTTTTTTTTTTAATATTTTATTTGTTTATTTATTTGACAGAGATCACAAGTAGGCAGAGAGGCAGATAGAGAGAGAGGAGGAAGCAGGCTACCCGCAGAGCAGAGAGCCCGATGTGGGGCTTGATCCCAGGACCCTGAGCCGAAGGCAGAGGTTTTAACCCACTGAGCCACCCAGGCGCCCACCTTACATGTTTTTGATAGTTCTCAACAAGCAGAGAAATTACTATTGCCCAATCTCATGGTCTTTAATATTTTCCATATTAACATGTACTTCACAATATTAAATGAGAACACAGCAAAACATGTTTACTTGTCTGATTACCAAAACAAGGATATAATTATAGTATGTGATGTGTATGTAGTTTGAAAAAATACCTCTGGGAAGGGGAGGGAGAGAAATACTGTCTGGTATTTAAGAATTCTTTTTTTTTTTTTTTCAATTAATGTGGGGACTTCACTTACAGTCTTACTTTTTTCCTTAGGTATGGAAATGGATGTTTTATAACTGTTTTTATTGTTTTCAGGCCTGATCTTACAGCTGAAAAGTATGAAAAGCTTTTCCAATCTATTAATGGGTAAGTTGGCAGCATTGATTTGATACGGGGAATGAGGTGGATGTAGTCTGCATTTGCAGAAACATACTTAGAAACATACATGTTTCTGTGTAACTGTCTTATAGAGGTATAATGTTAGTTTTCTGAGTTCTTTTATAGTAATTGTTTTGTTGAAAGATGACAAAGCTTGCAGAGGGAAGGCAGCTTAAGAAGTAAATGTTGCATAGTAGATATGTTTAGGTTTTTTTTAACGTGACATTATCTTTGTTCTTTTAATGCTTGTCTTAAATGTTCTGAGGTCACTTTGAATGGCATGACATACTGTTTGCTTAGAGGGGATTTAGAAGTCCTAAATCTGAGTATAATAATTGGTTATCTTTCAGAAGACATTTTGAATAGAACTTGGTAATAAGTTTTCTGTCCTCTGGCTTCACCACAAAATATATGATTGACTAGCTCAACAGAATAAAGCTTTTAATCACATGAAAAATGTTCAACATTACTCATAACTAAAGGTTACCTAATTATAGCAATTATAAACTTTTTAAACTACCAAGCTGACAAAGATCAGAAAGTTTGTAAATATTCTATAGTGAGGCTGTGAGGTAACAAGTATTTTCATACTTTACGACTGTATGAGTTATACAGTTTTCTGTGGTGTAGTTTTGCAATATCTGTTGAAATTTCATTTCAGAAATTAATAATGCACATACCTTTTGACCTAGGAAATTGGTCAGAAGGAATTTTATTTTATAAATATATTCCCTGTTATGTGGAAACTTAGGCCCAAACATGAACGTTGCAGAATTGTCTGAAATACCCACAGTTTAGAAATCGCTGGGTAGTCTATCAGTTGGGAACTGGGTTAAAAAAAAAAAAAAAGACTGCATGCATATATAATAGAGTCTTATGCACAGATTTAAAAAATGAGGGTATCTATAGATGCTGGCTTGGATCACTATTGTCATGTGATCGATGTGATATTGTTATGTAAAAAAAGCAAGGCACATAATGGTATTTATTTGCTTTTTTTTTTTTAAGGTAGGGATTAGGAGATTAACACAGTATAATCTATAAGGTAAACACAGAGATTTTAAAGGTGGCGGTTTTTAAAAATTTCTGTTTATTTATTTGGAACAGAGAGAGAACGCATGCCAGCAGGGGAAAGACAGGGGTGGGGGGGAGGGGAGAGGGAGAAACAGACAACGAACTGAGCGTGGAGCCCTGCATGGGGCTTGATCCTATCACCCTGACATCATGACCTGAGCCAAAATCAAGTATCGAACACTCAACAACTGAGCCACCCAGGCGCCCTTAATGGTAGGTTTGTTTTTTGTTGAATTTTGGGTGCAGGGAGTCTATTTTATGATAAAGCTTTTATAAAGAGTTTGTTTTTTCCACTTTTAAAAACTGTGTTTGTTACTACTTTAAAAAAGGAAAAAAGGTGTGAGTAAAACATTTATAGTGCCCATTATGTGCGTGCACTTTGGCATAGAAAAGTAAGTCAAGGTCAGAATATATGGTAGAAACTCAGAAATACACACAAAAATATATACCAGAAAATGAACTACACTCCCATGCAACTTCAGAATCTCCTTCATTGAGCCCCTATTACACGATAAATTTTATACTGCTTTGTGGAGGAACACAGAGATGAAATGGTTTGTTTTTAAAGGGATTTCCTAATCTGGGCAAGACAGTCAATTTTATGAAAGGACTTTGCATTAAACACACTAGATTTGATCAGCGGCATCTTTTTAGACATTTAGTGAATGAAAAGGGAGACCTGATAATTAGTCTTCATTAAACCACTTCTAATTGTAGGGTTTTCTGCATGGTTCTACCTTATAGTTTGTAAGTTTTCTACCAGACTGTGAAAAATTCCTCATCCTTGTCTCTCCAAGTTAATACCAAGAAGCAGAATATATTTGTTGAATGAACAATAGTCTCAAAAGTGGACTTTCGGGGAGCCTGGGTGGCTTAATTGGTTAAGCATCCAACTCTTGGTTTTGGCCCAGTTCATGATCTCAGGGTTGTGGGGTCAAGCCCTGCATCAGGCTGTGCACGGAGCATGGAGCCTGGTTGGGATTCTGTATCTCCCTTTCCCTCTGCCCCTCCACCCACAACTGCGTGTGTGCTCTCTCTTGCTCTCTCTTAAAAAGAAATGAGCGTTCACATATCTCATATTCTTATTTAAGTATTTTCAAAATTTTAACACATTTAATCCAGCTTTTGTAATCTTTTTTTGAATATCTTTAGTTATTTCAAGACTTGTTATAAATTTTAAAATTGAAGTTAATTTAAAAAGTCGATATAAAAACACAGTAAATATTTTTCTGTATCTCTCCTTTATGGGTAGAGTAAAATAAAATCAAACGTAACTTCCCCTCTCTTTTCCCAAACTTTTTCCAGAATTGTTAATTTTGTTCTTTTTCAAAGTTTTTTAATAGTGTGAACATTTTGGAAGAAATTTCAGGGTGATAATAAAAAATTAAATTCTCATGGATACTTAATTCTAGCCTACATATGTTTATGAACAGCTTGTTCTTTATGATTGAAAATAATTCTCCGTGAGCCAAAACTGACTCCTGACTAGGAGCCTCCAATTGATTTTGGCATCAGTGATTGCTTGATTTAGACCTAGGTGTACCTGGAATTTTATCTTGACTTGATTTCTAGCTTTGTGTACTCTCCTTCCTTCCCCCACCTGTTTATCCTTAACTTGTGTACACTCTATCTCAAAAATAAACGTGTTTATTGAAGAAGTTTTGGAAGAACATGGGCTTCTAGAAGTATTGTTAACTGTGGCAGTTTACGAATGTGTAGGAGTGTAAATGTGTAGGAGTGTGAATATTTTATATATTTTTGCCACAGTTTTCTTTAATCTGTTGCTTGCGTGATAAGGAAAAAAATTGTTTTAAAGCAAAAAAAAGTGTTTATTTCCTGTGGGCCGCGGGATTGAAATGCACCCTATTTGATTTGCTTCAGGATCCTTTTCCCTGGAGGAAGCGTTAATCTCAAGAAGTCAGGTTATGCTCTCACGGCCAAAAAGTTTTACGACTTTGCCAAACAGGTAGATATCAGTTATTGCCTATTATTCCAGGTGGGTTTTTGTAATTTTCCATGAGAATAATTCTCTCTGACTCATGTGGTTAATACTTCCCTCACAATCACCCTTTATCTTTTACCCTTCCCTTAATTACCCTTTATCTTTTGAGCTTCCTGCTCTGTAGCAGCCTGTAGGGGTGCTCACCCTGTTTCCTGTGGGCTTTCAAGGGAACCAGAGTCCGGCACACTGGCCCTCTCTGTTAGTGCTCATTAATAAGACCAGGTCTTCATGCTGGCTTAGTAAGCTGTTTTTTGTTTTTTAATGTACTGAGTACATGCTCGATGGGTTTTGTTTTTGAAAAAGTGAACAAAGTGGAAGTTTTATAATGTGAGTGATTTAAAATGCATTTTGGAAAGAGATATGAACATTATAAAGGGGTCATTTTTCCTTTTGCATACAGGGACTCATGTAACCAACTTGCTCAATTTAAAAAAAAAAGGAGCCACCTAACCCTTAAGACCCCAAAGTCTGCTTTTTGAAATGTAATTAGCTACTTGAAGATTTCAAAGCAAAGGAAAAAAGCTCCGCAGCCTTGAACTTATTTAGCTACAGCTACTGGGGTCCACAAAGTTCTCACTGAAGGAGCTTTGAGAAGTGAAGTCTGTTAGATCTAGTCAGTCCTACTCTGTGTTCTTTGCTCTGCCAGGCTCCATGGAGGAGCCACAGTAAGTGAAAGATGTGGCGCCAGTAAGCGAGGACTTAACATTTTAGTCGAGAAATGAAATTTGGTACATATGAAAACAGAGCAGTTAAACCTTCCTTTGTGTTTATTATAAGTAAATGCTGTATGGCCTTTCGACTTCATATATGCAGTTCTAACTTTTAAAAATAAAATTTCCCAGACCTGCATAGAAAGTGTTAAAAATCCTACCTTATGATAGAAAGTATAGGAATTAATGTAATTCTGTATTTTTTTCAGTAAGGAACAGAAAGAAAAAACCCTAACCATTTCCTCATTTAGTGACTGTTAGGCTATATTTTATAATCTATGCAGGAAAATCACTGCTTTTAGAAAAGTTGCACAACTCAGTTTTGTAACTACAGTACATATGGATTTAATCTTTACTTAACCCAAAAATTCATTCTCTAGAAGACTTTTTCCCCATTCGTGCTAGTTGTTGTGAGTCCCTTTGAAAAAGCTCAATACATTTGTACTTTTTTTGTACAAAGAGTTGACAACTTTTACTCTATACAAATTTTTTTTTTTTTTACTTTTGCTTAGCCTTTTCCTTACTGACTGTTACTCTCCTTCCAGATCATGGGTTTCCCATGATTTAAATTGAATTGGCTAAAGGTGCGATGATGCAGCTATTACTGTAAATTCCAAGATAATGAAGGAAGGACTTCAGAGTGTGTTCAAAGCAATCATCCAAAGAGCAGCAAGATCTGTAGCAGATGTATCGATAGACTTCTGTCTAGCATTATCTCTGATATTTGCAGTCCCTAATTGCTACTTGTGTTGCTTGGTAGTTACCTGGCAGATGTCAGTCTCGTTCCCAGCACAGCTGAGATTGAATAATTTGATCAACTAAGACAGAATGATTATGTATGAGCTTGGTCTGAGGAAAGATTAAGTGATAGGCTCCTTATGGATCCTGGAAAATTCTTTAGAAACACATTCATGACTCAGGTGCCTGTCTTGTAATGACAAATCAAACGTACAAATTTTTGTTTTAAAACGTTAAAATAAGCTTAGTTTTCTCTTTCATTCTGCGAAGAGTTTTGATGACGGAGACTATTTTCCTGTATGGGGTACTTGCCTTGGATTCGAAGAGCTCTCATACCTGGTTAGTGGTGGAAAGTCCTTATTAACTCTCACTCATACTGATGGAATTACAATGCCGCTGAACTTCACTAAAGGTGAGAATTCTCTTTTTGACCCTTTTAAAAATATTACCTGGGCAGGATGAGTAAGTGGCAAAGATCCGTGTCAGAAACGCTCATAATGTTTACTGATTTTTAGATGACTCACACAAACTGACGATGTAAACGAGGTATTGAACTGTGAAGATGGCTTAGGAGTTTTGAGTTTTGATAATTCATTACGTGTAGTAATATCAGAATCATACATGATTAAGACCTCTAAAAATCGGACCTGAGTTTGAGTCCTAGCTTCATCCCTGTTGCCTAGGGGAATGGTTTAACCTCCCTTGACTTGATTTCCTGATTTTAAAGGGTTTTCCTCTTAGGGTTGTTTGTGACTATTAAATAAGACACAGCTTTCCAGCTACTGTGCTAAGTGCTTGGAAGACAACTCTTATACATGCTGGCTAGGAATTATGATAGTACAGCGTCTTCCCTCGGCTGTGTACTCTGTTTGAACCCTAGCTGTGGTGTACCGCGCTTCGATTCTGGTACTAGCCACTAGGAGTCAGCGCAGACTCCATAGTTATAAGTTATCTTCCCAATGAGTCCCTTCTTTCAGATACAGCCACAAGTCACATCCCCAGGCCACCCACACTTCTGACCAACCAGCCACAATTGTGAGGATTCCCATGACCCTTCGTGAGGTTCAGTAATTCACCAGAATGACTCACAGAACCGAGGAAGGTGCTGTGTTTGCACTAAAAATTTTATTGTAAAGGATACGAATAGTTTGAGATCCCAGAGGGATTGGAGAGCTTCTGCGTCCTCTCCATGTTGAGTCAGAGCACATCACCCTACTGGCCTGTCAGTGTGTTCCCCAACTGGAAAACTCCCATTAGCTCTTTTGTCTAGAATTTTTTACTGGGTTTCATTGCAAAGGCAAGATTGATAAATCATTGGCTGTGTGACTGAAGTCTCCAGTCCCCTTTTCATCCCTGGAAATCAGGCTGGCTCAAGTCCTAACCTACTCTAATCATGTGGTCGATGTTTCTGATGATCAGCCTCATCCTGAAGCTACCTAGGGGCCCCCTGTGAGACCCCTTGTTAGCATTACGAAGAATTCCTATTTTGCAGGAATTTCTGAGAGCGTTAGAAGCTCCTTGTCAGGAACTCAGGGCAAAGACGAGGAAAATTGTTATAGCACTCTGTGTAAATAGGTAATGATTCTTGTAGGTTACCTGATCTCTGAATCCTCACAGTTAAGTGCTGTCAACTATTCCTGTTCTCATAAGGATTGTGGATGGAAAGCAGTAGTTGTTACACATGGAACCCATAGAATGCTCTATATTTTTCAAAGCTCTTTCTTGCATTATCTTACTTAATCATTGCAAGAACTCTGTGGGAAGTACGTGTATTAGGTCAGACTATTTTGGATGTATGTGGTGAAAAACCAAGTTTATATAAAGAAGATTTTTATATTGGAGAAGCAGGAATTCTCTTGGAAGCCATTATTAGCATGCTGAATGAGGGGCTTCACTTAGCGAGTGCTAGTGTCAAGATAAATTGCTCTTTTTGATCTATATACTGAGTAGAGATTTCTTGGCTTGTTTAATGTTCTTTCCTACATTGTTGGTATTTTTAGATCTTTAAATTCCAGATACCTTTGAAAATATGTTTAATGTTCTGGATCATTTCCTGAGAAAACAAAGACATATTCACGTGGTAAATTGTCCCTGTTTTCAAGAGAACTCAAGTTAAAATTTTCTGCTTACTTGATGGTGGCCTGATAATTATCATATCAGAAGGATTTTAGTAATTCTTGTTCAAATTCTAGAAGAAAAGTACTTGAATATGGAACATACTTGAATTTGTATGTTAAACTTACTTTGTGTTTGACTAGGATACATATGTGGAAATGATATGTTTTGTTTATCATTTAGTCATCTTGATTATGTCTTAATAATGGCCCTTTTTGGCCATAGATCAGTGGATTTTATTTTTGCTGTGTTTAAATTATTTCTCTTGTGCTTAAATTATATCAGGTGCATCACAGAGCAGAATGTTCCAGAATTTTCCTGTTGACTTGTTGAAGTCATTATCAACGGAACCCCTGACTGCAAATTTCCACAAGTGGAGCCTCTCCGTGACGGTATTACATTAATTAACAGTGAAATTAATGCATTTAGATTAACCACAGAAGTAATTATTTTGTTTTTTATACTCTAGAATTTTACGATGAATGAAGAGTTAAAGAACTTTTTCAATGTATTAACTACAAATACAGATGGCAAGACTGAGTTTATTTCAACCATGGAAGGTATATCTCATGGCACATATATACTTTATTTCACTTATGTTTATATATATTAATTTTATACTTCTCTTATGAATAAAATTGTGTTTCTCTGGGGTGTAAAGAGAAGCTAAGGCATTTTTGGGGATAGGAGATGTATTTTTGTCCATGTTCCAAGTCAGTTGTGATTTACCTCGGTCATCTGGTGGATGGAATGATGGAGAAGGAGAGTAAAGCCTAAAGGAAGAGTAGAGTAAATGGAGAAAATGACTTCTGTTTCTAGCAGTGCTATAGAGTGAGTACCATGACAGAGTCTCCTCCAAACAACAACAAAAACCATGAATCATGTCCAGAAAACTTCCTAAAAGTTTACCCCACTGTCCGAAAGGAGAGCCTTCCTATGAAACTCCTAAGCCACAAAGGCACAAAGCAAAGAGTATTCTTCTACTTTCTAAAAGTTTGCATTAAGCCACTTTGTTTTTATGAAAGACCTGCATGAGTCCCTGTTTCTGCTCCCTGAAAGAAAGCAGAAGAGTATTTTTGCTTTTATAAAGAAAAGCCGATACTGTGCTAATTTAAGTTTTCATAACAATGAAGTAGCGAAATGTAGCCTTTTGGAAAGTGGAGGGATACCTGTACATTCATGAAGTGACAGGATACTCAGACCAGAACCTCTGGGAGTTAAGTGGAGTACTTTTTTTTAAATTGAAGTGTAGTTGACATACAATATTATAGTAGTTTTAGGTGTACAACATGGGATTTGACAATTCTATATATTATGCAGTGCTCACCACAGTAAGTATACTTATCAATCACCATACAAAGTTATTACAGTATTATTCACTATACTCCCTGTGCTGTTTTTTCATCCCTGTGACTGACTTACTTTATAACTAGAAGTTGTAACTTTTAACCCCCTTCACTTATTTTGCCCCTTTCCCATTGGCAACCACCAGTTTGTTCTCTGTATTTATGAATCTGTTTCTGTCTTTTGTTTGTATTGTTTTTGAGATTCTATATAGAAATGAGATTATATAGTATTTCTCTTTGTCTGGCTTATTTCACTTAGCATAATGCCCTCTTACTCCATGTTTTCTCAGAGGGTAAGATTTCATTCTGTGTTATGGCTGTGTGATATTCCCTTATATGTATATGCCACATCTCCTTTATCTATCCATGTATCACTGGACACTTAGGTTGCTTCCATATCTTGACTCTTATTAATGATACAATAAGCATAGGGGTGCATATATCTTTTTGAATTAGTGTTCTGTTTTCTTTGTGTAAAATGCCCAGTAGTAGAATTAATGGATTGTATGGTATTATATTATTAAGTGAAGTATTTAAACCAGCATTACTGTTGAATCAGGAGAACTTAGGAGGAAGCTCAGGAACCCCCTCCTGTGAAAGTCCTCCATGCAGCAGGATCCTCAACAAGTCCTGCCTGCCGACCTATGACAATTGCCACCTTGAACCTTGACCCTAAGGGAATGGGGATGGTGGTAAATAAGTCTTGAGAATTCATAGTGACACCCTGGTCACCCGTGGCCTGCGTGAAACTAACCGGGAAGGTCAGTAAATCTCAAGTCATTTCAAGTCATCTCAGCCTGAGAGTGTCCCAGCGTTTATGGCAGAAGTGAATATAAATAATTCTCTGTGGAGAAAACTACATTTATCCCAGATTTTAAGGGATTTCCACATTATGAAGTTTTAAGGAAGATGAGCAATTCCTGGCCAAAAAATCACTACTGTGCAAGGAAGTGAAGTACTATGAATGAAAACTTACAGAAACAACAGATAGTCTTCGAGTCAGTGAGAGGCCAGGGTACTGGTGGGTGTAGTTTGTGTTATTCAAAATTGGCCTTCTCACTGGCTTGCTCTTGGGGGCGGGGAGGTCAAAGTTTGAATGGTTTACGAAAAATACAAGAATTCCCTGGGGGAATTCTGGGAAAGGTTGTTCAGCCCAGTGGGAAGTGAACGGACTATCTTCTCTTTAACTGTTTCCTTCCTCTATGTTTTGCTTCAACAATAGCATTGCCATTCATCAAATCATTCTAAGTTAGAAGCTTAGATGTTGTCCTTGACTTTCTGCCCTCCTCCTCTACCTCTAAAAATTGTGTGCCACTTTCTGCTCCCCAGATGCTTGCAAATGATACCTCCCCTCCCTCCAGCTTAGCCTTGTTGTTATTCTACATTAACTACCTTCCACCTGGACTCCTCGGTAGCCTCCTAACTCTCCACAAAGCCACTTTCCAGGTAGCCTCTGATGACCCCTGTGGAACACCAGCCATGAGGGTGGGAACCATTCCACAGACAGAGGGACATCATTTAGGCTGAGAAGAACTGGCTTACATAAAAGGACACCAAAAATGGTGGCATAGTTCATTGTCCTGTGAATACATCATTACGGGAAAGGATGAAGACGTAGGATGGTGGGAGGGAAAGAGACCCATCGTGGAAGAAACTTGTATCACTGATCACACGGGCAGCTGACTGTTGAACTGGGGTATTCAGAGGCTCAAGTATTTTACTTCCCTCTGATTATCCACGAAAGCAAATCACATTATGGACTGTACAAGGTTGAAAATCAGTGAAATGTACTGTGAATGTTCACACTGTGAATTGAAATTCTTTATTTTGTCTCTGGGAGAATGAGCATAATTTTACTCTGACATTGTGAGTTATAAAATAATGTTTTACGTAGGATATAGAACATAACTCCATTGTAAGTAATATCTTAGACTGCTTTTTTTTAAAAATACTTTAATTGTTAGAGAGAGAGAGCACGCATGATGGGGGGAGTAGAGAGAGGGAGAGGGACAAGCAGACCTGACACAGGGCTCGATCCCAGGATCCTGAGATCACAATCTGAGCCAAAATCAAGAATCAGACACTTAACCGACTGAGCCACCCAGGTGCCCCTTCGACCATTCTTAATACTTACCTATTTGTGTTCTTCATGCAGGGTACAAGTATCCAGTCTACGGTGTCCAGTGGCATCCAGAGAAAGCACCTTATGAGTGGGGGAATTTAGAAGGCATTTCCCATGCACCTCATGCTGTGAGGGCTGCGTTTTATTTAGCTGAGTTCTTTGTTGCTGAAGGTAATATGTGGGTATATAATTTTATTGTCTAGTGTAGTTTTGGAGGAAATTGCCCTTGTCTAAAGTTTCTTTACACTTTTGCTCTATAGATGTTCGGTAAGTTTAACTTTAACAAAAAGTTAAATCATGTGAAAGCCCTGAAATTGACATACTAGGCATTCAGATAAAACCAGGACAATTATTTCAGTTAACGGTATTGGACATTCTGAAGTGCACTGAATTCCTGAACAACAATGTAAAGATTGAGTTCTTCTTTTCTTTCTTTCTTGAATACATTTTTAAAAATTTGCTTCATTACTCTTCTTTTTAGGAATAATGCTTGTATTTTAACATTCTCTAAGAAGTAGATGTTATTTTTCCAAGAAGATATAAATTGAATATATGCTCATCAGACTGATTTTAAGGCTGCCTGCGTGCAGGCATTGGCACAATGGACACAGTTAATAAGCTTTTCCTGCTCTTTCGTAGAGACATTTTTGTGCTGTTTGTGGGCAAAATTGAGAATTTGGTTTTAGATGCTTAAGTTTTTTTGTTTTTTGTTTTTAAATATTATTTATTCGAGCGTGGAAGAGAGAGTAGGGGGGAGAAGCAGAGGCAGAGAGACAGAATCCTCAAGCAGACTCCCCACTGAGCATGGAGCCCAACGCGGGGCTCGATCCCAGGACCCTGAGACCATGTATCCGAGCCAAGATCAAGAGTTGGTGGCTCAACTGACTGAGCCACCCAGGCACCCCTCAATGCTTAAGTTTTCGTTGAGTGATATAGGTGTGAGAGCTACAGACACCACTGCAAGGGACAGGGCATCACTCTGGCGGGGCGTGAACTCCAGCACGCTGTGTTTGCCCCCTCTCTCCCAGCTTGCCCGAAGTTTTATCAACCCTCCTGCTCACACTCCTTAGGAAAGTACTTCCTCCTGAATTCACTCTGCTTACGGGCAGTTGAATGGGTCGTTTCATGACAAAAACCCCAAACTGAAAACAGGATTCTCCCGCATGCACTATGAATCCCAAGGAACATTCCCGTGTCCTGTGTCAGGGACTAAAGGAGAACGGCAGTAGGTGGAGTGTGTTGCAGTATTAGCACTTGACGGGGCTGTTTATCTCTATTTCCCAACATCCGGCTTTCTAAAACAGTGCAGCAAGCGTGTATTTATTTCCACTCGAGGATAAAGTCCGAGCCTTCCCTGCTTCCCACTCCCACTTCAGCCAACTTCTCTGTGCCTCCTTGCTTGTCACATTCCTGCCTTACCTCTCGCTTCTACATCGGCCTCACCTTTGACAGTCTCTGTTCTCTTTTTCTGGGAGCAGCTCAGTGAGGACAGACTGTGAAAGCACCACACGGTGGAAGATTCTGCATGGTTACTAGGCAAGGCTTCTTGAGTGCTAGGTCCTTGCCCTGGTTAGTTTCCATCCGCGGGCCCTGTGGCAAGTCCTGCGCACAGTAGGCCCCAGATGAGTGTTTAGATCAGCGGGAGGGTAAGCCCCTCACTGGATCTGACGATCAATCAAGTGCTACTTTATTCGGGGGAAATCCTATAAGGCATTGCTCCTTTTCTGGTGGTATTTCCCCTGCTTAATACTGCTGATTATAGGAAGAAATGTTATAAAGTAGCCTTTGGAAAATTTTATCCTATCTTTCAAAAAATTAGCACTGTCTTTTTCTTGCAGCTCGGAAAAACAGTCATCAATTTGAATCTGAGGTTGAAGAGAATGAAGCACTGATTTATCAGTTCCGCCCAGTTTATACTGGAAATATTTCTTCATTTCAGCAAAGTTATATGTTTGATTGAAAGCCTGCAACGTGTTAACAGAGAAATTTTGAATCATTCCGTGATTAAACTGTTGCAATGACTTGCTACTGATGGCACAGTGGAAAGCCACAGAGATTCCTTTTCTAGGATGTTGCTGGCTCTGATTCTTCATTCAGTGTCTTGGACTATTTATATCACATTTGGTAATGAATCAATTTGATAATTAAATAATTGTGGTGTATTTCCTGGAAAGCTCAAACCTGAAGATTAGAACAAAACAAATGTATTGAAAAATACAAGTTATTTTTTTCACATTGATTGATTGTGGAAATAAATGCCTTCCCCTAGCAATCTACCACCCTGTCCTTGCCAAAGACGCTTTTTAAATCCTACCTCGTTTGAGTCTTGGGAGTATTGGGGTGTGTGTGTGTGTGTGTGTGTGTGTGAAGATGTGTGAGTATGCATACATAAGAGAGAGAGTGTGTGTCTACACACATATTTCTTTTTCTGCCTTTTCAGCCCCACAATTAAACTGCACACCTGCTGAATGCAGAGCACGGGTCTTGAACTTTCTGTCTCTTAGAATGTTTAACACAATGAGCTCTCAGTAAGTACTTGTGACCACTGGGGAGTAAACTTTCTTTCCATGGAAAGTAATTTGAAAGCTGCCATACACTTATTTGCATACATTTTAATGCATTTCTCAATCTGTGCTTCCCTCATCATCCCATGTACCCTCACCAACTTCGAAATTTAGGAATTCCTTGAGGACAAAAAAGCAGAAAAGAGGATAGTTTGAGTTGTTGTTGACAGACAGTGTTTATGCCTCTGTTCTCATGAGTCCTTCAGAGCTGCTGCTAGAGAAGTGGAAACATGGGAAACAGAGTGGGCAAGGTGGTGTAGGAGATGAAGGATTTTACGTATAGAGATGGGAACAATAACCTGAAGATACCAAAGCAAACCATAAACTTTGGGCAAATAAATCCAAACAGAACATAGAAATTGAAAGGTATTAACATGTTTAATCAGCTCACAGAACTTGAAGGGAAGTGTGGCAGATTTAGTTTCTATCCACGAGCAAAAAGATGCTGTAAAATCTTGTCCAATGTGTTATTGCTAGCTAAGTTCATGGCTCTCACCTCTAGAAAAAGGTAGTGATGTGACACACTGGCAGGGCTCTTCCCAACCCACTTGAGTTGAAATATAAATTTCCTGATCGCAGAAGTTCCCTGTTAACCCTTAATCCTGACTTCACCATGACTCATGATGCCATAGCGTCCATGCTTCTGCCATGAAGACCAGCCTCTAATTGCTCCCAAAGTTTCTCACTTGTGCTTCTTCGATCATGATGACCACAAATCAGAGAAAATAGAAGCTGTGGTTTCTTTCATACTTAAATGACGTTTTCCATTTTTCCAACCATGTATATAATTTTTTTTTATGTCTTTACACTAGACACGTTATTCCAAGAATGGAATTGCTTTCGAAGTTGGCAGTACTCCTGCTTTTCCTATGGCACCAGCAGTCCCATCCTGGTGACAAGTGTCCCTTTCTTGTCTATCTTGACTTCAGGCTGACCCAGGGCAGCTTGCTGTTGCTCCGTCAACGGAGGCAAGAGAGGATGGATTAAAGATGCCTGTTGATGTTACTAAGCTACAGGGAAGCCATAGGAGGAGATAGCCAGCTGCCCCCGGAGGGCTGCCTGACCATCATGTGCAGCCACTGGTAAGAGTGGATTGACCACCTCAGGTGCTGGTGACTGGAGGCCTGAAGGCTAAAAGATGGGTGTTGCCACCTCACTACTTTTGCATTCTACAGACCAGAAGTGACACTGTAGTTGGAAGTTGGATGCATAATGGCCAATACACAGGCCCACACATGCAGCTCTAGTCCAAGGGTTGGTCTTGGATCTCCAGTAACCCACATCCTTGATCTTGTCCTGTGCCCATCATGAGAGTCCCTTAAAATCGGTATGTCAAGGCCATTCTGGCCACCCAACCTGCAATCCTGTGGAAGAAATACTGTGCTTACAGAAATACCCTCCTAGAACTGGAGTCTGGCCACAGGACCTGGTGCAATCGCATAGGCTATAGAGGCAGGACATCTTGTTGACCCACAGATGCAGTAGTGTTGGACAGGACTTTGAAGGGGAGAAATAGGAATAAGGGCCCAAGCAGGTCTGCCTAGCCTCAGAGGGCCCTAACCCCATGACTTGGCCATGCCTGGCTCATCACCACTGTGGAGGCACTTAGGAGAAGTTGGGACATGTGCTTCCCAAGACAAGGACCTACACAAGACCAGGTCCAGGTGTGGAGTCCATAGCCTAGACAGCACTTTGCCCTGACCTGTCAGTCCCAGGCACTGAAAAGGGGTTTGGACAACTTTGAGGAAGGTACTCCAAAGTGGGAGCCCTACCAGGCAAAGTCTGGAGCAGGGGCTTGGCTTACTTGTGTCTAAGGGTGATACTGCCCTAGCTCCCAAGGGGCCCAGTGACGATACTGCACAAAGAGACACTAAAGAAGCAGTAGGATCCGAAGTATAGATGCTACATCCCATACCAGGCTCATGGAAGACCCCTCTCACGGACCCAGGACCCTTGCATTGAGCCAGATCATGGCCGCAGTCATCTAGCCCTGTTGTGAGAGCTGGTGTGTTGGCCGGACCTTCTTTGCTACTGCTTCTAGTTTAGAGCAGTGCTTTTCAAGCCTATGTGCATGGGGGATCACCTGGGGATCTCGTTAAAATGCAGATTCTGAGTCAGCAGGTCAGGGGTTGGGCCTGAGGATCTGCACTTCTGACCAGCTCCCAGGTGATGCTGACTCCACTGCTCTGTGAGCCACACTGAGTATCAAGCCTTCTCTGTTGGCAGGAGAGAAGCAGAGGCTGAAAGACAAAGGGTGAGCAAGGCAACATGTGGATGGGGAGAACAAAGAGGAAGAAAGAACTAAAGGAGGAAGGATTGGGTAAATGTGGCTTGCTTTCTGTGCATTAGAGATGGCTAATGAGGATCCTTCTCCTGATTACAGCTGACGTCAGCGTCTAAGGGTTTTGAGGGAACAACTCCCAAAGTTTTTACCTCCAGCATTTCCCATCCTCTTACCCATGTGAAACATTTCAAATGGAATGGGAATGCTGGCCTCAAAAGAACAGGCCATCACTCATTTCTATTCAGCCAGATATTTTTTGAGCGCTCGCAAGTAACTCGTGGCCTGACACAAGACATTCTCTGAAGGGATGCTGGGCTGTCTTCATCTCCACACTGCAGAGAACGCAAGTGCTTGTACTTCATCAGGTTGCATTTCTGAGGTTAGCATGGTCCTGTGGCTTCTCAGAACACAATGATAACTCCCACTAAAGTATTTGAGCCCAGTACATGGCAAACGGTGCCCCTCTCTCTTTTCCCCTGCCTTCTCTGCAGTCATGGACAGCCCTGGGACCAGGCTGGGTTTCTCTGTCTTAACCTGTCAGACTAGCGAGAAAACACAGCACTTGTCTCACGTGGGAAGAGCTAAGAGAAGAGTCTTTTGCTCCTTAGAAACAGAAGCTTTGTCATTGTTTATCTTGTAGTTTTACCCCACTTAACAAATTTCCTTCTAAAATGAATGAAGTTTTCATTCCATGTAGCATTTTAATTTTAGTAGTAGTTAAAAATGAACAGAGGTTATTTTGCAATAATGAATCAGAAACACTAGATGTCAGAAGAGAACAAGCTAACCTGAGGTTTAACCACCTGGGTTTACATTCAGCCGTTTAGAAGAGTAGATTTTAGGAGGTTGCCAGGAACCGAAAGAATGTTTCATAGCACAGTCATTGTATTTATTTAAATACTAACGGTTTATTGAATCGTTATGTTGTGTCTGTCAATTATATGTCAGTTAAAAAAACTAACGGTTGTATAAACATAAGCTTATACCTAATACTAGATATTTTATTTTCTGATCTATGAGAAGGTCCTGAAAACACCTAATAAAAAGAAAGGGAACAATTTTAAGTATCTTTTAAGGGCCAGGTAATTTCATGTACATAAATCTGTGGTCTATATACACAATTCCCAAGCCCTATTCCCCTTCTACCTAAACTGAGCAACTTTAAGGCTAGAGGAGTTTGTTTGTTTTGTTTTTCTCCCCCGATGGGTAAAGAACCAGAGCTTCGCATAGAGATGCTTCTGGGGAGACCTATGCTGAAGGCACCAAATCAATCAAGAGGTAGTCCTTGAACATGTACTACGAGCAAGGTCCATGTAGGAGAAGCACTTTAAACAGACATTGATGTTGGATTTTTCCCCCCATAGATGAAAGTTTCTCAACATGATGTACTCTAAATCTTATCTTAATTTCTCTTTTGGATTTAAGGAAAAAATCCCTGATCATTAGTTTTTCTATTGAAATTGTTCGTTATTGCATAAATTTAGCATATTTTAGGCTCCCAATTCTCTGACACTTATCATAATTTCTCATAAACCTAATTAAGAGTTAGTCTGTAGAAACTTAGTACCACCTAATATCTTTTGCTGTAGTTCAGCATTTAAGTTAATTCATCCTGGAAACTTTTCAGGGAGAGGCTCAAAGTTTGAGAGAATTAGAGACTCTCAGAATGGGAGAGTACTTCCATTATCCTGGTGGGCATTGGGTAGATGCCATATTTCCATTAATGACATTTAAACGGGATTTCTTTTAGTTCAGCAACATTATTCCTGGACTACCTTGAACTGTTGGTAAATTAAAAGTCACAATTTCTTCTTCTCTGGCTTATCTATCATATCTTCCAACCAGTTTCCCAGTGGGATGAGGGTGGCAAGAGTCCCGGCATCAGAGGCCAAGGGCTCAGTCCCATTGCTTTTATTCCTGTAATCTTGGGCAAATCGTACACTTTTCATACAGTCATGAAAGTTTCTGCTCATTCTCTGAGCACTTCCTATCCTGTAAAATTACCCTTCAGGTTTTTCAGCCCAGAGTAGATGCTTTCCTTTTTCTTTTACATTCTTTGGTACTCTAAAAAAAAAAAAAATTAATTTCATCCATTTTTATAAAGTTGAATAAGACAATAAAAGTTTTCAATCTGCTCAGTTAGAATGGCAATTACTGTCCTTTCTTTCTCTTTCAATTTTATAAAATAAATTGATGTGAAAATGATCATTACATTTTTTCTTCTCTAGTCAGAAGAATCTAAATGACTTGGTTCCTCTTTACTAGTCTTGATCCAGAAACAAAGTAGCTACTAAATAATATATACAAATATTTTGGTATAATTAACAATGATGATTGGCCCCAATGTTGAGGGTAAAAGTCACATAAAGCAAAGTTTGAACTAAGAATAGATTTTAGAACAATAATAATGTAACCATGATAATAGAATTACATTGAATTAAAAACTGTCACTTCCCCTTAGTGTAGTGTCACATATTTGCAAATATAAGTTGTGTCTTGCTTTTATTAACTGGGTCAAAAACATGTTTTTTTATTGCTGGGTATGTGGCCATCCTAGTTGGCTGGGTCCTTGCCCCTTGGGAGGACTGGATGACCCAGTCAGGACCTAGTCTTGGCGGCTAGGATTGGCCAAAGTAGGGGGTGGGTCAAGGGTTCAGACAGGGCAGGAATCCTGTTTAATGTGGTCCAAAGTGGGGCAGTGAGGCAAATGCAAACCAGAGTACACAGCGGGAGTCAGAGAGCACTAAGCAAAAAGGGTGAGAGCAATGCGGTAATTGGAAGATGGAACGTGGAGTGAGGGACTGCAGTGAAGAGAGACTGAAGTGTGAGCCAACTCTACCAGTCAGCTGCGTCCCAGATAAGCGTCCCAAGTCCAGGGGGAGATTGTCGTTTACTGGACGGTGTTTTGGTGGGGGCATGCCTCATTGGTGAGATCCGGTGCCAAGACTTTACTAACTGAGATACCCCATCTGTAGAAGCGGCATTTGCCCAACTGGGGCATGGAGGATCTTTACTATAAAGCCACACTGGCTGATACTTAAACCACTTTTTTCTCAATGCCCGGGTTGCAGACCACTTTAGAGGCCTCCTGTGTAGCAATTACTCTGGGCCACCAGCCACTCTGCATTTCCTACTTCGTCTCTTCTGCCTCTGGTCTCTTCCCCAGAGAGGGTTTGATATTTAGGTGTTTTTCTTTCCTCTCCCAGTCCCCTTATGTTTCTGGGTCGTTGGGGTGGGCTACCTCGTTTTGTGGTTCACGGCGTGATGTATAAGCTCGGGCTCCAGCCCCAGCCTTGGCCTCAAGCTGTGTGTGTGTCAGCTAGCTGTGGTCAATGAACCCGAGCAGAATGTGCCCATGTGTGGTGAAGGCTCCAGCATCCACTGGGTAAGTTAAATTTAGGGGAAAATGATAAGAGGCCTCATTTTGGTCTTGTGTATAGGCTATGATCTCCAATGAAGCTTTATTTTATTTTTCTTTTTAGATTTTATTTATTTACTTGGGGGGAAGGTGGGGGAAGGCACAAGCCAGGAGAGGGACAGAGGGAGAGGGAGAGAGAGAATCTGAAAAATTTTCCAGCCAAGCTGAGCATGGAGCCCTCCAGGGCTCCATCCCAGAACCCTGAGATCATGATCTGAACAAAAAAAATAAGAGTCAGATACCCAACCGATGAAGCCACCCACGCGTCCCCATAAAGCTTTAAATAGCTTTAAATAGCAGTGCCACGATGACTGTATTTTAGTCCTTCCCTGTGTGCCTAGAGAAGGAAAGTTGAAGGACTAGTCTTCCTAGTCTGAGGT